CCGGGCCGGCCCTGCTGCCTCCCTGCCGCCGGGCTCGCGGCTGGGGTCTCCGTGCCGGGCCTGTGTCCCCTCTGCAGAACGCTGCTCCGCCGCAGCGGGTCCAGACGGTGCTCGCCCGGCCCCGCGCGGGGGAACGGAGCGAGACCGAGGGGCCGTTAGAGGCTCAGCCTCATGTCACCCGCCCAGAGGTGCTCCCGCGTCCCCGAGCAGCTCAGCTTCGCTCCCGTACCCTGTGTCGGTGGAAACTCGGAGTTTAGCTGCAGGCAGTTTGTTAGGAAATATAAAAAAGCCTTGGTTTCCTCCGTCCCCACGGAGCTATATGTGACAGGCTTTCCTGCTGCCTGCCAGTTTTTCTGCCTCGGAGCAGCTGGCTGAGCTTGGGGGCTCTTTTGAAGCTGTTTGAGGAAAGCGAGTGTTGGTGTAAAGGGAAGAGCGTGTGGTGTTTCGCTTTACAGTTGAACTGAACGAGTGACAGCTAAGTGATGTGGTTACAGTCAGGTCTCAGATTGGTATTTGAAATATTGCAAAGGTGAAAGGCAGAGCTTTTAAGAAAGCTGGATTTGATACTAGGAACTGAAGAGTGATAAGCTGAGACGTGCTGATCACTTGTTCAGCAGCTCTACCACATAAATACTTTCGATCTCGCTCTGTGTTAACTAGAGGATTTAACTCCTTTTCAGAGGACACCTTCTCCTCTAAGATGCAGGAAAAGCAATGCAATTCCATTGTGCCTCTTCTAATTTTAACCTTAATGTGTCGCCCCGTATTTCATCCCTGCAAGCAGGTACCGAGTTCTTTTTATAATGTAACTTGCTCTTCCAGAGCAGTGGGGTTTTATGTCTTTTTTTTTTTTAAATTTTTTTTTTAAACTCATCCTCAGAGTTGAAGGCAGCTGTCATAGAAATAACTAACTGAAAGGAGCTTTGGAGCCTGGGTCGTTCTAGTGAAAACCTTGCCTTCACTGAAGATCTTTCTTTTGATTTCTGCAGGGTCTCTGGAGCCATTATTTGTTCACCGCCCAAAGAAGCCTCCGAGATTGTAATCGACGCTTTACGGGCAGGTAAGAGGAGCAGCTGCAAGTTCAGGTTTTGTCTGTAGTCGGTAGCACAGGTCGAGGCAGACCTCGTCTGCTTGCTGAGGGCTCTCAGCGTGAACCCTGTCTCGTTTCAGCAGTGTCCCCTGCGTTGTGCAGGCTATCTCTATCTGGATAATGGAAGAGAAATTACTCTGCTGATGACACTGATGTTAGTGGCTTAACGCCAGCGAGTTTGTACTGGGCTGGTCCCAGTACGGCCGTGCGGAGTGCCCAGTCCTGGAAGCAGCACTGGCACTGAAAGGAGAACTGTCTGCCCAAGCAGTCGCGCTCCTTGGGGTCCGTAACCAGCTCGTCAAACCACAGCAAAACCCCGTAAAACCACAGCGGGGGGGCAGAAGGGGATTGGTAGCATCAAGAAGTAAAAAGCCAGGCTTCAGTTCCATCAGAGATAATAATTTACTGCAAGATAAAAACGCTCCATGCAGACGGGCCTTGCCCTCAGTCCCGTGTTCTGTACCGTTTCGCACAGGAAAAGGGGTGTTTTGCGAGAGGCTGCCCAGTTTTGACAGGCAGAGAGCGGAAGCTTGTTTTGACGAAGCTGACAGATGTGGAAGACCCTTGGTGTGCGGATTCTACAAGTAAGACCGGCGTTTCTCTCCTGATTTATGCTTGATACGAAGCGTGTGCCTTCTGAAAGTAGCGCTGATTCCTCAGGCTTTCCTGAATTTGTCCTCAAATGAACTTAGCCTCACTGCTGCTCGTTAACGTTGTTCATCTGGGAGTTAATTGGGTTGGATTAATTCTTCATGCTTAATGGGGATAAAATCTAGCTGTCATGAGATTCAGATAAATGTTTGCTCAAACGGACGCTGGTGGAACTCGAGCGATGAAGCTTTCAGGATGTGAAAGCTCCACGTTTCTTGGAGTGGCCGAAGGCAGTTGGGGTCCGTGTCTCTGCCATCCTCGAGGTTTGTTGGAGCTGAGGAGGAAATATTCTGACGTGCTGTGCCGTTCTCTGAGGCGGTTTCTTGCCCTGTGTTTTAGGATGTTTTTCCCTCACGGTTTTCCGTGCGTGCCCAGCCGCCGGGTCGGGCAGGTCTCTGAGGGATCTCCTCAGAGCTGCTTTTCACACCCTGCTGGGTCTCGCAGCGCCCCGGGCACTGGGCTCTGCTCCTGGCTTAGGCTTCCCTACGAAACGTCTGCCCGTGTGTGCTGTGCTTCCTCTGCCCCTGTGGGTTGTCACCGTTCAACGGGGGAGTATGATACACTTTCATAAATTGAAAGCTCTTCCTTTTTTGTAACTTCTCTTGTGTTTTCATTGATTTGCTAATTATATTCTGTACTTACCGAGTTGATGCTGATCCTGTGAAACGTTAAGTACTCGTGTTAGCAAATACTGGTGAAAGCTGAGAGAAGAGCCTCGAAGGAAAGAGCAAGCGACCTTCTGGAGTCCCGTTTAGAGCCCTAAACTGTCTCTCGGGACACAGTGACCCCATCCACTACCGAACTTTTCAGCCCAAATTGAATTTCCAAACGCTGGGGCCTGCCTAGAGCCGTGCTGTACCTCTGACTTCTTTCTAACGCCTCTGGGAGGTGTTTGAGGGTTATTTAACCCTGAGGACTGCCAACCACCTGGCCGTCAAAATTCCGCTTGGTGTTAGAATTACTGGCCCGTCTGATGGGAATAGATTTATTTATCTTTTATAAAGTGATATTTCCACTTGTGACCTTAGATCTGGACCCTTAAGATCAAATAATTGAAGCAGAAGGAAAGTAGATTCATTTTAATTCGCTTCTGCTCTGTTAAATCGGGGGAACTCCGGGAGCTTTGCTGAAAGCCAAGAATTCCACGTTAAGCTTGCACTCAGCGTTCAACACCGTGGCTGAGGGGATGCGGGTTGTGGGTAAGCACGTGGCCGTTTTGTGCTCCTCTGCTGAGAATTGTTAATTTCATTGCAAGTAAAACTTCTTTGGGCAAGTATATGTGTATTTTATAGATGCTAATCTGCGATTACACAAAGTACCTGCCCTAAAGTTTGCCTCAGGATCCGCAGGTCCGATCCCGGCCGTAGGGTCCGACCTCAGCTGAGGTTTGGGTCAACACTCAGCTGAACGTAAACTTGTAGGCAGGGCTTTGGGAAGAGCTGGGGGTAACTGACTGGACCTTTAAATGCTTTTAGTCCCCGCGGTTTAACTCCTGGCTTCTCTCCGCAGGCGCTTCGACCCGGCGCTGCAGTTCCTGTGCAGGAATGTCCGGGACAGCCAAGCGCTGGGGAGGATCCAGCGGATCTCCGCCGTCAGCAGCCTGTACCCGGCGGCGTCCCTCAGCCTCCTCAGGACCTCAGGTACCGGGCGCCTTCCCAGTTCTTCCCCCGAGCGCTGGAAATGTGTCTCGCCCCAGGTTCTGGCAGCAAGTCCCCGATGTCTGCGTAGCCTCAAGCTGCATGGGTTTTCTTTTGAGGAGCATTTGCTTTACAAGTCTTTATTTTTGTCGCATTTTTCTGTTTGCTTTTAGAACTAGTGTCCTCGATGTAGGGTGCTTTTTATGTCGATCTCCGTGCAGTTCGGAAATGTACAGTAACTGTGGGTTTTCAATGTGGAGACCTTAATGCCTGGTTTTGCTTCTTCCAGGGGGAATTTTTTATAATGCTGCTGTGCACGATATAGATTTTATCAGTTTGTTGTTGGGAGAGAGTGCACCAGACACAATATTTTCACTGGGGCATGCATTCTGTGCAGGTAAGAATAAATCTTTTGATAGTTTTTTTTTTGTGTACCTCTGGACGTCGGTACTAAAATTGGGAAGAAAGAGTGCGTGAGAGCGTGGCAGCCGCGGCCTAATTGCTCCATCGTAGAACAGATTTAAAATTAATCCAGTGAAGAGAAGGCAGGTTTGTAAAGAAGTTGCTGTAGGCAGGGTATTTAGTGCTGATTTCTGGATTTGGTCACCTCCCTGCTGACGTGAAGCGGCTGCTGTCGAGCTGTCCCTGGGCGCGCTCTGGCAGTCGGGGGATGTCAGAGTGCAGAAAACAACGAGCGAGGCTCAGCGCTTACAGGGATGTCAGCGCAGTCTCTCTCAGTTCTTTGCTTTCTCCGAGTTCTCGGGCACTTACCTGTTGCTCTCGGCACAGTTAAAGCTGTGAATTCACTCTGGATCCTCTCAAGCTGACGGGCGCGCTCCGGGTTACCAGACTAATTTAAACTGACCGTAAAACTGGAAGCCGCCACTTTCTAAATGGGAATGTAAAGTTTTAATTAAGGTAATTGCGGCTGCCGCCGACCTCGGCTGGCTGTTGTTAGAAAGTGTAGTGTGCAGCGTTACGCTCACTGAGATGCAGCAGACAGAAGGCCCCGGGGAGGGTTTTGTACCATCTGCCTCCTCCTAGCTACGTGCTGGAAGTTGCCTGGTCTTGGCTGTAACAAGCTGGGAAGGTGAACGTGGTTGGGAGAAGCAGTGGCGGCGCCTTCAGGGAGAGCCCCGGGCTGGGAAGGTGGAGCCGAGGCCCGGGGCCGTGTGTTTCTGCGGGGTTCTGTTCCCCTCAGAAGTGCTGGTCAGGGTAAAGCAGCCGCTGTGGGCCGCAGGAAGCGCGTCGCCGTTGCTCCCGCTTTGAAGGTGTCGCAGAGCCCGCGCGGCCTCGCGGGGGACGAGCAGCCCCTTTGCTCCTCGTACGTGCAGGTTTGCTGTTCTGGTGTGAGCCGGCGCCTTTTCTGTCCCTCAGATATGGCCTGCTTGAAGGATGCAGACACTGTAGCCGTCAGCATGAAATTTCCTAGCGGAGCGATTGTGACTCTGGACGTCAGCCAGCACTGCACTCAGCGCTGTGACCAGCGACTGGAGGTGCGTTCTCCCCCACAGCCCGGGGCCTGCCCGAACCCCCCCGTGCCTCGGGGCGGCTTGTCTTGGTTCAGTCCGCACTCCACCGCCCGAGTCCTGCCTCTGCTCGCGTGTCCTGGTGGGTCGCAGGCTGCGTGTGCTCATACTGGAGCAGGAGTCGGTGTCAGCTCTCCCGAGGCTGAAATGTTGTCGCACAGCTCATTCGTTGCCTTCCCGGGGTGTGTTTAGGGGTGTAGGAAACCAAGAGTTAAGGGTGTTAAAGGGGAAGAAATATGTAAACTCGGAGGCAAACTGTCTGTAAATCCCTAAAGTCACTAATTATGGCAGATGCGTGGGCTGGATTTGAGGAGTAATATCCGTTAAATACTTAAAAAAGGAGCTTTGCTCAGGTGGGAAAAGAAAAAAGTGGATGTATTGCATGGGCAGAGCCACTGTACTCCGACCCGTACCTGGTGTTTTCTGCCGTGTCCGATCCGTGCAGGGGCTCTGGCAGTTGTAACTCCTAAATTTTAAAAGGGTCTTTTCTCTTGGTTGTACAAACCAGGGCTTCTGTAGACTAGCCAGGTGGTTAAGCTTGAAAGCGCGATAGCTTCAAAATGTTCTGTTCTTTTTATTTATTTTTATTTATTTATTTCCTGTTTGCTGCCTTCCCTGCAGGTTCACGGCTCTCAAGGCACGTTACGGGTCGATAACCAGAATCCCCTGGGGATTACGGAGCACGGGACCTCGGTGTCCATCTGCTCGCAGACCCATGCCGACCGCTACAGGGATGCCCACAGGGAGCTTTTCCGACACTTCCTGAGAACCCTGACAGGTAGGACGAGGCTCACGTTAGCGGCCGGCGTCGCTTTGGGTTCGCTTTCAGTGAAAACTTCCCCTCGGGAGCTGCTGCAGTAGCCGTTTAGTGTTTGTGTCTGAAACCCCGAGAAGAATCGAGAAACCAGGGGTGAGATTCGTGGTGGTTCGGTTTAAGCTTGTGCTGGGTGAAAAACCACGTGGGGTGCTGGGTCTGTTCGGGGGGCGCCGGCAGCTGACCCCTCTCAGTGGATGAACGAGGGCACCTGGTTGGGGTGAGCCACTTCTCTCTCTGTCGGGTCAGCGAGAGGGGTGAGGGATGGAGCCTTGGCCTGAAACCGCTCTGAGAAGAGCTGAAAACCGGGAGGGGAAGATGACACTGGACCTCACGGTCGTGTTTAGCAAGGAGAGCCTCGCCTGCAGCCCCGGCTGCCCAGAAGGAGTGAAGATATTTCTGTTCTGGCTGCGCTGACAGAAAGGGTTTTTAGTCACAGGACAGGAAGGTGAAGGGGCTGAAACTTTAAAGTCTCATGCCGGGAGGCAGAGCAAGGATCAACACGGGTTTCAACCTGGGGCTTCGCTCCTGTCCCTGCAGGCAAGGAGCTCCCCGCCGTAACCAAAGAGCAGTTCCAGTGGACGATGCAGGTGGCTGCGGCAGCCGAGCAGTCCTGGAGGAGCGGCTCCGCCGTGGACCTGCGCCGCGAAGGCTTCGCTCTGCCCAAGATCAAGACCGAGGAGGTGTGATGCCGGCGGGGGCGAGGGTAACGTGAAGCTCTGCTGCGCCGAGCTCTCGCCGCCTGCCGACGTCTCCGCTCTCACCTTAAAACGAGACTCGTGGCTTTGACGTGTCCGCCAGGAGCGCCCGGAGCCTGCGGGGGGCTCTGAGCGCCTCAACCGGAGCCCTCAGGTGATGCCGGGTGCTTTCACCCGCGGCTCTTCCCCCCGGGAGCTGCTTTCTGGGGAGACGGGGCCCGACGCTCCTCAGGCCGCGCTGAGGCCGGGACAGGGACAGGCCGGGGCGGGCGGACGCGCTGCTGCGAACAACTCCAGGGGGGTCCCTCTGCTCCGCACTCGCCTCCTGTCAGCGCATGCGGGGACGTGACTCCTGTGCTGAACTTGCCTCTGGGCCTCCTATTTATTGTTTCATTTGTTGTTTTTGCTGGGTTTTCTAAATCTTTTTGAGAAGAGGTTATGATCTAATAATTTTGGGGAGTGGGGAAAAGAAAAAGCAGGGAGGGAGACCTCCGGACGTTGGAAACTTCGTAGGAAGAGCCCAAGTTGAGGCTGTTCCGTAGAGGAGCGGCAGCGCGCTTCAGGCACTCAGCGCTGCCTTATCAAAGAGTTTTTTTTTCTGGGTGCAACCTGTGAATTCACGCGGGGGCCCTGGGCGGGCAATGGGGCTGCGCCTCGGCTGGGCCGCCCGAGGCTGGAGGCTGTTGTTTTCCTCGTGTTAAACACGAACGCTGTATGTTAACGTTTTAGTAGCAAAACCGAACTAATAATCGAAGTTCTCCGCGTGTCAGAAGGGCGTCTGCTGGCGGATTTCAAAGGTCTTTGTTTTTACAGTCCAGCAGATTTGGAGCATCCACCACAGAAGAAGATAGTGCCTTCAACAAGAGGCAGGTCTGCTTTTAAACCAGGTTCCTCGTTCCTTTTGTCTTGAGCTCGTTGCGGGTGTCTGGATTTGACTGTTCTTGCACACACCAGTTTTTCAGGATCTTCTGAAAGGTGTTTTTTGTTTGTTTGGTTTTTTTATGGTATTAAAATAACTTCTTGCCTTGAGCGTTAGCTTGCAAGTGACACTTCTTGCAAGATTCTTTAGTTCGATCAATTTCCAGTTCCTACCTATGGGATATATATTGGTAAACGTAGAAATAGCGATGACATTTATAACTAAAGACAATTCTCTCGTGGAAACCGTTTTTAACGGTGTAATTTTTCCAACACAGAAAGGCGATGTCTTGATGATAAAGATTGCTATCAATTTCCTTCTCTGTTTTGTAGTCATTTATTGAAAACCCAACAGTTTTACCTATAAAAGTAGGCGCTTGCCTGGCTACTCCCTGTAGCAGTTCGTGAGCAGCGAGCAGGTTTCTCCTGGCTGTGGGGGGGTTCACCAGCCCCGTGCTTGGGCAGCGGCTCCCGCTCTGCGTCGCTTCGTGGGCGCTGGGTGAAGCGAAGCAGCTTTGAGCCCCTCGAGATCACCTGGGCGAGGCTTAGGCTGGTGTTGGAGGACGCTTGCTGTGCAGTATAAGCCAGGCTTTAGTATAAGCTAGGCTTTAGTTGCTGGGTGTTGTGATTCCCACGTGTGCTTTTATTGTGTCACCAAAAAAAACCAAAAGAGAAACCACAGCTATAAAAATAACAGCATTTTCCAAAGATAACATTACAGAAGGTGCCGCTCGTACCGGGGTTGGCGTGTGTCTGTTCACGCCACTGGAAGAAACCTTAATTAACGCTGAAAGCACAAACGATCGTTTCGAAACCCTTAAAGCCTGAGAGTGCATTAATGAGCCGTTATCTTGGGCCACAGGTTCACGATTCAGCCGCGTTCCCGGTGGCAGCGTTGGGGCCGTCACGGCCTTGGGGAGGTTCACCCGGGCCGGGAGGAGGAGGAGGAGGAGGAGGCAGCCACCTCCCGCACGCCGAAGGCTCGGAGCTGCCGTGGGACCCCCAGGTGGTGGCGGGAGGACCAGGGCCTGGGGCTGCTGGTTTGGCACCGAGTTTTCCCGC